TTATATATTGAATCATTGGAGAAAATAATTAAAATACCCTGAACTTTAGGCATGTGTGATATTCCTACCCTGAACTTGCCTGTGTTAATTACATACCCCCTCCTTTAACTAATATGAAAAAAGAATACCCTAACCTAATTAAAAGTATTTATTTTGAATTTAAAATGATTTTATGCAATATCTAGCTGGCATATACAACTCCACGTTAGCTTATACTTATATAACGATTCATCTCCTTCCCTGTAGTCGTCTCTCCATCGTAGAAAAAAGCCCTAGTTTCAGGGCCATGCCATGAAAGAAGCAGAGAGCGTGAAGAAGAAGATGAACGACCATTACTCAGGACGAAGAAGCATCTCTCTCAGCGGAAGCTCGTCGCTAGGAAGAGAAGCATTAGGGATTTCAAGTGAGAATGTAAAGTATTGCTATCACAATATTCCTGCTAATCTTGAAATTACATCAAAGGAAGGAAAGAACCATGGTCGACGATTTCACAGATGCTCTCAGTGGAAGGTATGAGTCAATAGTGCTTTATTTTTCGGGAATTAAGATCTGGAAAAGCATTTTCATTATTTTGATGTTGGCTTTTATATTGTACAGGTCAATGATTGTAGGTACTTTGAGTGGTTTGACAAAGAAGAATATGGTTCTCGGGCGATAGAAGTAATTAATTGGTTGAAGAGGAAAAATGATCAACTTATTGAGCAATGCAAGCAATTACAATCTGAAAGTGAAAGAGGGCTGTCACATTTGGTAGATGATACGGGAACAGGGAGATTACCTGATGAGTGCTCGAGTTATATGTTCCCGACAAGGCAAGAAGAGAAAGAAATACTTCACATGAAAGTGAAAAAACTAAAAGAGAAGAACAAAGATGTTAAGAAGAAATTGTTTATGGTAGAAGCATAGTTGGAGAACATGAAAAGCACTCATGTATCAAAAGCAGAGTTTGAAAGAGTAATAGCAAAACTTGTAATAGTTGGATTTGTTTTAGTTTGTTTAAGTGTATCAATTGCCTCAATTGTTGTGAGCAAAATGTAAGGTAAGGTTAGAATGTGTAGTGCCTAGAATGTGTGTGGTTCCATTAGCTGTCATTCTTATGAAATGTACAACCAAACGAAGCCATATTACTAATAAGAAATGTATTTCTTAGTGTTATGTGTTTTTTGGGAGAAGCTTAGCTTTGTGATATTGCTGATATTTTTGGGACCTGCTGCCATATAACCAAAACCAGTCTCCCTGAGCTGCTATTTTATGAACGAGAGCCTAAATTAACCCAAGGGTAAACACTAGTGACTTGCAAAACAGAAATACATAACTCTGAGTGTAAATATGTTGCTACCATAACAAAGAAGATAAGTGAAATATCTCACAAATTTGAATTACATAATTGTGAAGGTTTTTACATAGCAAAACAAAAAGCAAAACATGGCCTTTAGCATGAGCCAAAAATGTGCTTTACATGCACATAACTATATTATAAGCAAAAAATGGCCTGTCCATTAAGCTTACAAAGAGGACCTTAACTTTAGACAAAAAAAGACCATAACTACATAGCAGCCTTCATACAGCAAAAATCCCAACTTTTGACATAGCAGCCTTCATACAGCCTTCATACAGCTTACAAAATGGCCTGTAGCTAGATACTTCAGATGCACCAGACCCTACAACATCATGTCTGAGATGGTTGAGAATTTGTTGGAGCAGAAGATGTTTGGGACATCACATTACCACCCCCTTGTCCTGGCTGAAATAATTAGCATGAGCAATGCATTAGTTAATCTCATAGAGTTGTTGTAATACTTTAAAAGTGTGTACCACTTACGTTTAGGTAAACTCTTGCATCATCACCATAGTAAACTCCCCATTCGTTGGGTATTGTTTGTCTTGAAGCAGTAGAAGAAGCACTCTTTAGTGGCCTTCCTCTTGATCTTTTAGGTTGGGTAGGATCAGCACACGGAGCTTGAGTTTTTTTTCTTGGCGGTCCACCGTCCTTCCTTGGTCTTCCTCTTGCTTTTGCCTAAGATGTAAACATAAACAATTACACATACCAGCTTATAAACTAGTAATAGTTTATAAAAAGCTTATAAATTACCAGCTTATAAATAAGAACTACCAGCTTATAAACTAGTCACAGGACTTATAACTAATACATTAAAACAGTTTATAAACTACCAGCTTATAAATATGAACTACCATCTTATAAACTAGTCACTGGACTTTTAACTAATACATAAAGACCATACAATTATAACTTAAAACAATAAATGACAACCACAAACTTACAGGAGTGTTTTGGGATTCAGTGTGGGATATGTTTCCCTTTTGAGGGCACTTTCTCTTATTATGGTCATTTCCTTTGCATGTACTACAAGTCATTCGCAGTCCGTGTTTGCTTAAGCTACCTTTCTTTTCAAATCTCTCGTGTGCCTCCTTTCTTCTATTTTTTTTAGGTCTTCCTGCACTTATCTTTATTGGTGGAGGGTTTAAAGCATAGTCTATCTTTTCCCAATGCCTCTCACCATTAATTGGTTTGAGTGACATACTATAGCTCTGGAGGTATTTAACCTTCTTAAACCAGTCCATCACAAAGTTTTCTGGAGGAACCCTTAGCCAATTACAACAAGATATGACATGGACACATGGTATGCCAGTTAGATCCCACTTCCTACATGTACATGTCTTATCATTTAGATTGACACTGAACATGTCCAAACGATGCATGACTTGAAACTCAAACTCACTAGCAGGAAAACAAACACATTTCCTAGCTTGTTCTTTTTCAGCCTCTAAGCATTTCCTTACTCTTGGACAGATTTCATCATGCATACTTACCATAGAAGATCTATTCAAATGCACCCTTTGCATAACACTTAATCTTATATCTTCAAGCATTTGAATAAGAGGTTTGGATCTTGCTTCAATAATATATCCATTGAAAGTCTCAGCCATATTACTGACAATGACCTCACTTTTACTCAGTGTTTTCATGTAGGACCTGCAGAAGGTGGTTGGATTCTGGGAAATAAAATCTTCATCAACTTTGGTACTAACAACTTTCATGTCCTCAAGTGCAGTGTCAAAGTCAGCTCTAGCATATGCTCTGACAGCCTTCCAGTACAAACACCTAAGTTGCTCCCCCTTGTGTTTCTTCAGCCAATTTGCATAAATATGCCTAGCACAGTTCCTATGTTCTGCAGCAGGAAAATGCTCTGTAACAGCTTTACACAATCCCTTCTGCTTATCTGAACAAATGGTAGAGTTCTCATTACCAAAACCAGGCAAATCAGTTTTTAGAACACCTAAAAACCAACTCCAAGAATCATTATTTTCAGCCTCCACCACTGCCCAAGAAACAGGGTACATTTGATTGTTCCCATCTCTTCCAACAGCACACAACAACATTCCACCTAAAAATGTCTTTAAGAAGCACCCGTCTACACATAGCACAAATCTGCATCCACTTAGAAAACCATCTCTCAATCCAGGAAAGCTCACATAAAGCCTCTTAAAGATTTCTGGTTCCCTAGGTAGATTAGGCTTATCAACAACTAGTATAGATGTCACTTGAGGATCAACTCTCTTCAACTCTCTCAGATATGAACCAAGTTTACTATAATGTCCTTTTAACGTCCCATGTAACATCTCATGAGCATGTTTCTTTACAGTATATCATGCAAACCGTTGAAGACGAACACCAAATCTCTCCATTACAGACTCTTGTAGTGATTTCCTAGGCCAATTTGGATTTTTTTTGTACTCCTCCAAATACTCTTCAGCTAACCACCTAGGCTTGGCTTGTACATTCTCATAATCTAGTCTGTTACATGTATGATTAGGATTGACAGACTTCACCACAAACGACTCTTTCGGTCCATCGCAAGAAGCATATATCCTCCAACCATAACCCTCTTTACACTTTGCTGCAACCTTTTCCTTTTCACTCTTACATAACCTAATGCTATACCCTGCAACCACGACATATCTGACCACTTCTTTCTTGAATATTTCAGGAGAAGCAAATTTCATACCTACTGTCCAGTTTAGCAACTTGAGTGTAACATCGTCATGTACTTTGTATACAACCTTCACCTTCTTTGCACCACTATCACCTTCTTCCTCACTTTCATTTGGTGTTAGCAAATAGTTTTCTGAATTGTCACTGTCATAAAAGGACTCATTGGGCTCATCACTTTGGAGGTCACCAAACACTTCAGAGTTGAACAAAACAAGTTTTTTTCGACTACCAAGCCACTCCTCGTCACTTGATGAACCCCACTCCCAATATCCTCTCTTTCATTGCTCTCACTCTCTTCACTCACTTCGCCTTCTTCACAGAAATTACGCACTTCCATATAAACCCTAGGTTATGAATCAAACTGTGGGGGTAAGTAGAAGCGATTAACTTACGTTCGTATCTCTCAGTAGAAGCGATTAACTTACGTTAAACCCTAGTCGTCGTTCTTACCATTTGGTCTCTGGCATGAAGCTTTGTCTCTGGCATGAAGCTTTGATTTTTTTTCGTTAGGTTGAAACGTAGCGCCAAAGGCAGCACGAAGACTTTATTTTTAAAATTGGCCATGTAGCACTAAACCCATTGCCAGAGTGGATTATTTTTCCACCTAGATGCTTACATCAGCAGGTAGGGTGCTGGTTCCTCATATTAGTTAAAGGAGGGGTATTTAATTAACACAAACAAGTTCGGGGTAGGGATATCACACATGTCCAAAGTTCAGGGTATTTTAATTATTTTCTCCTGAATCATTTGATATCATTGATCTTTGTTTTCAAAATTAATACTTCGTATTATTCTTGATTTTTTGGTGATTATTGATACTTTTTAAAGTTATTTTTTCCACTAATTAAAAGGTAATCACGTTAAATATTTTTTACGGAGCATCATATTTTTATAAATAAATCAATCTCTTAAATAGAAGAAAATAAAAATAAATGGCCAAACAAATTTAAAACTGACCCACTCCGTTTGTCCATTATTTTCTGAACCAAACGCATCGCACCCAGTAGAGAGAGAAACTGAGTTTGAAGAGCGAGAGGGAGAGGGGGGCGAGAGTGAGGGAGAGTGTGGGAGGGAGAAAGGATAAGATCGTCGTCACAATATATTGCTGTATGGCGTTGTCGGGTTGAATATATTTTCTCAAACCCGAGGAAAACAGTCTGATTTTCTCTTCTTTTGACTCGGCGATGCGGAGAGGCAGAGCAGCCGCAGTGGCCAAGCAAGCGGCGGCCGCGCCGCCTGCTGAAAATATCAATGGATCTGGAGGATCTCAAGATATTAGGTTCCGTGGAGTGAGAAAAAGGCCCTGGGGAAGATACGCGGCGGAGATTAGGGACCCTTGGAAGAAGACTCGCGTGTGGCTCGGGACCTTTGACTCGGCCGTGGATGCTGCCCGAGCCTACGACGCCGCCGCCTTGAGTCTCCGGGGCCCAAAAGCCAAGACAAACTTTCCGTTGCCGAGTAATTCTCACCAACCCCCGTATCAGCAGAACCATCAATTTGTTCAGAGCTCTAATGTCCTTGATCCGCCGTTCATCGATCCCCGGCTGTACAGTCAAGAGCATCAGATTTTTTCTCAGAGGCGGCCTACCTCCAGCGGCATGAGTAGCACGGTGGAATCCTTTAGTGGGCCCAGGCCACACCCGGCGCCAGTCCCTTCTCGCCTTCATCCCAGGCCGCCGCCTGTTTTTCCCGATGACTATCATAGCGACTGCGACTCTTCATCTTCAGTCCTTGAAGACAGTGACTGCAAAGACATTGCCTCGTCTCCTTTCAGAAAGCAGCTGTCTTTTGACCTCAACCTGCCGCCTTCCATGGAGGCAGACGATCTTCCCTGCACAGCTCTTCGTCTTTAATGTACCTTGGCAGCTGAGGCTGCTCATCTTCGGCTCCCCCCTCATCACTGGAAACCAAATCCAGTGCTAGTATTTGCTTGATCTTTTACTTTTCTGTTTTTCTGTGTAGCGGCCGTTCTTAAAGAAAATGTTGGTGAAAAGAAGGAAATCAAATCCTTTAGAGCTAAATTGTGAACTCCGATTATATAAAAGATCAAGCTTATGATAAAGTCTCAGCTAAACTCCGAAGAGAATGTACTTTTTAAATTGCAATTCACTTCTGATAGTATAATTCTCTTAGTATCCATGGCTGCATCAGTGTGTTGATATATTATTATCATCTTGTAGCTATTATTATGGCTTCAAACCCATGCATCAATGCATCATGAGTTGTTGTCATGATTATCATTTATGTAACAGTTAAATAGATATATCAATCCTATAGTATTAGATGAAATTACTTTGTATTCGCTCCTTTTCTCTGAAATTTGAGTTGCATGTTGTAGCTACTTCGTGAAGGAAAAGCACGTGTGGACATATTTGAGCATGATTTGAGGTTTTGTGTTTTTTGAAATGCAGGTCATCTATGTAAGCTTCCATCAGAACTCCAATCTCTTAATTGAACTACCTGGTTATCGTTCTAGTAAAATATTGCTTGCACTCCATGATAAGTAATACGTATTATTAGTTATTTATGGGAGTATTATGTTACCTTATTATCTAGATTGTAATTAGGATGTCTCCTTGTATAGATCGAACTCTTTTCCTTTTATATTTGTTTCTTACTGTGCACTCCGTATAGAACAAAATTAATAGACCAAAATGAAATACCAAATGTAATAGCATACCATGTATAGGTTAATATATTTTTGTGCACTCCGTATTCTCTTTCGCCATGTAGGTATGAGTGGTATGACGATGCCCGTAGAAGTGGACGATGATGTAGATTTTTTCAACCAACTATTGGTTAATTTACTCAACTGAAGAGTGATATATTTTGTGCATTTATTTGTTAGTTTCTCATAAGTTTGTGTTGTTGTGGTCCAGTACTCCAATGCAAATTCAATGTCATTTTCAAACATACTTGAGGTGAACACGAATGGCATGACAATGAAGATTAAAGTTGTAGACAGATCTGGGGTATATCTATAGTGATCCCATGATGTTTTGCTTTCCTAAGCGGGTTTTGCAATGACAAATATTATTGTAGGCAAAGCCTGAAGGGCGAGAAGCAGGACATGTTTGTTGGTTGCGACTGCAGAGTAGAAAAAGCGGAAAATGGTAAGTGATGCTAGTTTAGTGGTTCATCTAGTGTGGGGTTGATCGCCTTTTGTAAATACATTTATATAACAACCTTCCTCATTTTCATCTCCCAATAACATGAACAAGGTTTCCCCCTCCCCTCTCCTATCATTTCAGAGTGCAAGTTCTTGGGTTGGCTTTCTTTCCCTCCTATGGTGTCTTTACCAAGTCTAACTTCATTTTTCGGTGCATTGTTTTTATGATGGATGTTATAAATTTGTATTGTTCTTCCTTCAGACACGTTCCGGCTATATTGTTTTGGCATAGAAAGCAAGTGTAATCAATTGGTTGCACAATGTTTCATTTGAAGAGACATTTTAATACCAAAATTAAGTTATTTCTTCATTTAGATTGATGTCGTTTGGGGCATCAATTGTTTACTTGTACAAGTTGTATACAGGGTGCACCCATGTTAGTTTCGGTTCATCTCCAGTTAAGGCGAGCTGGAACTTAAACCGGTTGGATTAGTTGTGATATGAAATAAAAGGAGCCAGTTCAGTCTGTTGACTCTGTTCAGCCATTTTAGCTACCCAGATGTAGCCTGTTCCGAAAATGGCCTAGTTGCATCATAAGGGTTGGGGATTTATTGTAGGTAAATTGTTATGACTGTTGAGCATATTGTACAGGTGCAGGGATGGACCGGGACGGGTTGGTCCGACCTGGGCCTGGTGCTGTTTAGGTCCGACCCGTTACTGTATAGGCCCGGTCCCGTCCTGGAGCCCGGCCCGATGACTATAATGGCGGGCTTCAGCTTCCATTTTTTGGGCCCAGTTTGAGCTCGACTGCACTGTTTTTTTAATTGAATGTCCATTCCTGTCCCAAAGCCTGACCTGTTAGTGCTTCGGCCTCGTCCGGTACTGGTACAAACCCGGGCCTATACCAGGCCTGCAATCCTTAAGCCCGGTACCGGTACAAACCCGGGCCTATACCAGGCCTGCAATCCTTAAGCCCAGTACCTGTACAAACTCGGGCCGGTACCGAGCCTGAAATCCTTAAGCCCAGTACCTGTACAAACCTAGGCCGGTACCGAGCCTGAAATCCTTAAGCCCAGTCCTGCCCCGAAGTCCGGCCCGGTCCTGTCGGAGTCCATCCCTATACAGGTGGATGATCAAAATGGTCCGTGACATAAAAAAGAGGATATCAATGAGGGATACTCTTTCAGTCTTTTGAGGAACCAGGAGTGCGTTTGCAAAATCGAAACCATCAACCAGAGGTCCAGAACTCAAAGGAAAACAGCTCACAATCGACTTGAAAAATAAGCAAAAGCAAAAAGTGTACTTTGCTAATTCAAACTCCGCCAATTCTAATCTACCGTCTATCCTACTCACGAAAGAATGTGTAAGCTTTCAAATTCAAACTCCGCCAAAAAGTGTACACAAACTTTGGAATATTGGAGAATGGAGAAAAGACTATTCTAAAATCGGTTTGATCCTCTCTATATTTGGTTTATCATCCCATTTTATATGTTTAACACATAAATTTTGATTTCTCATGCTAAATTGTGTAACATCAATATAAATAAAGTCAAAACCACTTTTATGACTTATTTGACTAAATTTACAATAGAGGATCAATTGAGTTGTTTTCGTATTGTTGATCTAAAGTTCTAAAGACCCAAATGTCCAACACAGTCCTTTGGACATTCGTAGGAACCCTTTTTATGAGTTTAGTGTAGATGAGTGTTTAAGGCAAGAATGAGACAAGAGAGATTGCAAGCAAGTAAGAGTCAAAGTGTATCAAATTCTATTAAGTACTTAGAATGATTACAACACGGCCAACACCTATGTCGAGCTCCGAGCTTTGATCCCCCCAGATCAAGTTGAAGACTACATAAGAACTAGAGAGAAGTCTATTACTAAGTATATGAGTTTGTCAACGTTTTACAATGAAGTAAATGTTGCTATTTATATTACAAAGTAGTATGTGGAGTAGGGTTGGATTCGGTTCGGGCCACCCGGCCCGTGACCCGGCCCGGCCCGTGACCCGGCCCGGCCCGGTACTGTGCGGGCCCGGGACCGGCCCGGTCGGGCGGTCCGGGACCGGGTATGGGCCCGAACCGGGGGGGAAGGGGCGGGGCGGGCTCGGTTCAGCATTTTTGTGACCCGGCCCGGCCGGGTCGGGCCCGGGTCCGGGTCTATTTTAAAAAAAAACTTTTTTTTTTGTTTTTTGGCTACTAGCCGTTGAGGCCTTGGGGGTGGGGCTGGGGACAACCCAAACGGCTATATAGCCGTTGGGTGGGGTAAAGGGGGGGTCCGGGGGGGTTGGCTGGTAGGGGGGGTGGGGGGTAAAAAAACCTATAAATACTCCTACTCTTAAACATTTTTTCATATCTCTTCTCCAATTCTTCCTAAATCCTATTCTTAACTCTCTACTCTCTAATTCTCTTATTCTCCAATATATTATATATCTACTCTCTAATTCTCTTCTCCAAGAAGTTAAGATGGAAAATCAAGATGCCATTATACGGTATAATTTTGATAAGCAGAAGGACCCGAAGACCGGGATGTGGTACGTAATTTGCAAATGGTGCGAAAAAAAATGTATCATGGGGGCTTCAGGCGGATTCGGGATGGCAATCAAGCATATGAAGTCATGTGACAAAGCCAAAGGATCGGGAGGTGCGGGAAGTTTCGATTGATTACAATTTTCAAAATGTTTATCTCTTAAAGTTTGTTTTAATTTTCAAATGTAGTTCCTATTTCATTTCAAATAAATGCAATTGAAGTTTGTTTTTAATACTCGTATAAAACTATAAACAATAAAATATAAATTATTAAAAAAAAATTAACCGACCCGGCCCGAACCGGACCCGACCCGTGACCCGGGCGGGTGGCCCGGCCCGAACCGGACCCGTCCAACCCTCGGGCCGGGCCCACTTTTCTTGAACCGGCGGCCCGACCGGGCCTGAGCCCGCCCGAATCCATCCCTGATGTGGAGGAGGTGATGCGCTCCACTCTGAGTGGATAGCCTCAATCATAAAATTTTGCATATCTGAATCATTAAATACGCTTCCTGCCACTTGATTGAGGGAGTTCTGCCTTGGATGACTGTTGGATTGGATGGAGAAGCCCAAGTGAGGGGATCAAGCCGAACGACATTCCCCGTGCGAGTAGGCCATGCGGGCTTATAGGTGGTCTAAGCTGTGATTGGACCCGTATACAGATTGGGCCCCTGGGATATTTGGGCATATGCTTAATATCCCAACACATATAATATTTTAGAATTTTATTAATAAAATACTTCCTCCGTTCCCTTTTAATTGCAACAGTCAATATTTCACGTTTGTCAACGCACAAGTTTGATCATTAATATCTTTCATTCCCTATTAGTAAAAAAATTTAAAAAATTCATATTTTGAAAATTTAGAATGAGAAGAATTTAACAATATTTTTAAAAAAATAAATTTATAATACATTAATTAATAAAATATAGTCAAAATAGAATATGTGAATAGTACAAAAATTCCAATGTTGCAATTAAAAGAGAACAGAGGTAGTATATCTTAAATATAAGTTGTTCACAATTCAACAAATTTAGCAAGAGTTCTACTGTGAAAGTTTTATCAATTTCAATAGATTCAACCGGTTTAATCTATTTTAGTGTTATCAAAGGGATCTAAATGCATTCAAAAAGATCGTAATAAGAAAATGATACACTCATAAAATTTGATCAAATTTAACTTGCATGCCGAATAATAATATAGGAAATGTGTGACCTATATCTGTGTAGAAGAGGAAAATTAAATGTATATATGTCACTTTTATTTTAAAATGAATTGACATACTCCGTACGGACTAAAATTTGGGAGAATGTGTATTTGATACATCTATTTTTACGGAGTCCGTAATCATTTGTTTGGGATGAAAATATGAAATGAATGAAAAGATCATGTAATTATCATTTCATCGAATAAATGTTTGCAAGGAAATGATCTCAAAATAATATCTACTTCGTATGTAGGAGTGTCTGGTGATTCTAAGATTTCTAACCGGCAAAAGTTGGGGGAACAAAAACCATCTTTTGACCGGAGAGTAAAATGAAAGGGAGGCAAAGGTTAGATCTCACAAAGAACAAACATCAAATAATGCAGATTTTGAATATAGTCTCTTCTTAACTCTCCGTCACCTGGAAGCTTGACTTCGTTTATGGAGATAGACGCAGCTCCTATTAGCCGCTGCTCTAAAGAGCACGAAAGGATCTATCAGGAATGGTTCATCTGTGCTGATTCAGGTGCATCTTTCTCACCCAACTTCAGCTTTCGAAATGTTTCGGTTCTTTTTGTTCTTTTAGGAAATGGATATCTGCATTTACGAATCGTGTATTGGTGATCGTTAAATAATTATTCAGATAGAGATGGACGCATCACCGGAGGCGATGCCACGAAATTCTTCTCCATGTCTAGCCTGTCCCGCCAGGATCTTAAGCAGGTTCTATATGATATTACTTGATTTGTTTCCTCATATTTTATCGTCTCTAAAATTTATGCTCGAGACGTTAGAAAACCGTTTGAGCTCAACCCTTGACATACATGTTTGGTTTGTGAAAGCAGCTTTCGATAAGATTGCTTTTATTTCCACCATTTGTTGCCTTGCCTCTTTCCATGAATAGTTTTGGCTTCTTTTTGGATGGGCAATGTCAATGTGAATTTCCAGTGATTGGATTCCTTATCAGTTGTCAACACCATGTTCCTACCATCTGGCTCTATTTTGACTAAATTTTCTTTCTCAGTAGGTACCTGCCTACCTGGCTATTAGTAAAAGAAGTTCCTTTTACTCATATTGATAATTTGTTACCTCACCCATTCCAATGGTTAATATGGGTGTAGCATATTTACAGTTAATCATTCAGACCTTTCTTTATTGGGTTTAGCTCTATTTTATCTTTTTTCAGGAATGTGTTTTCAAATCAAGCACGCCTTCACTGTCTTTCTAAATTTACTTGATTTTCCCTTAGGTCTGGGCAATTGCAGATTCCAAACGGCAAGGCTATCTTGGTTTTAAAGAATTTGTGATTGCTATGCAGGTCCTGATGCTTTTTTGGTCTCTGTGGTTTTGCTCATAGAATTAGGATATTTTGTGAAAACTGATTGTTCATTGCATTTCAATGTTCAGTTAGTGTCTTTGGCTCAAGCTGGACATGCAATCACTGCTGATCTTTTACATGTGAAAGGTTAATATTGTCATTTTCTGTTTCCTTTGCCCCCACTTTTTAGTGGTTTGTAGGGGTGGCACACTACTGCTGCCTCAAGTGATTTCTTTCCTCCTTTTATTGTTCAAACTCTTTTTCTTATTAACATTGCTCTGTTCTTTTAACCTAACCATTGAGATATTCAACCCATGCCAGTTGACTTCGAAAATTTAGAGCCACCAAAAATGGAAGGTTTGCATGCTCTCCTGGAAGTAAGTGTATTTGCTAAATTAGATCCACTCCCGTTTTAAAGAGTACTGACTTATTATTCAAAAACTTCAACTCTATTTCAATATATTAATTTTGCAGAAGAAAAATTATGTGCCGAGGAGTGAACCCAAGCTGAATGGTAAGATTCTAGTGCAAGAGCACTTTTTAGTCTCGGCCCTTGTTTCTTGCTTCAGTAGTTTCGACAGTGATCTGACTAATTTCGCAATGGTGCAGTCAGCCCTCCCAAGCAATCCTCCCCGTCAGCTAGTTGGTTTCAGTCATCACAATCTGTAAAGAAGGTCCATTTCGTCAATATCTATTCTTTTGTATATCAAACATAAACTGATCTATACTTTCTTTTATATGTGTGTGATTTTTCATTATTTTAGTTCTCCCCATTCCATAAATGTTGATTCCATAATTGAGTTTGTCCACAATGGATAGACTACATTGATTGTACTAGTTTTAAAATGTACCACATTAAAAAAACAAGAAACCCTGCTATGGGGGTGATTTTTAATACATTGTTCAATGATCTAGAATGGCTGCGGGATTGCAAATTAAGTGATGTCTAACATCTACATTTTGCTAGAACACAGTAATAGGTTTCACTTTCAATTCAATGCAAACTTTGAAAAGTTAAAAGATTCGGAGTACTTAAAATGCATGTGTTTTTACCTGCTGAGGATTACCATTCAGATCAACACATCAAACGCGATCTTATTGCTACCTATACCAGGGAAGGAGAAACTAAATGTGTTTAGTTTTTTTATGATTACATGAACTTATAAACATAAGGGTAATGTAAACAAGAAATGAAATTGTATATCCTTCTTAGAATTCTTCCTCAACCACCTGCTGCTAATGCCTCTGAGGCTGAATGAGATATTTATAATAAGCATGAAAACATTTTGTTTTAGACATTGCCTGTCTAATGCTTGCGAGC